CCTGCCCCCTCACGAGCTCAGCAGCCTCCAGCTTCCCAGTGCCTTCCCCACCTCACCTCCCAAGCCCCACGGCTGGATGGATAGAACCCCCCCTTTCTTGTTATCGAGTATAAAATACACAGAACATAAAATTTATTTTATTGACCACTTAAACCATCTTAAAGTAAAAAATTCAGTGGCGTTTAGTAGAGCCACAGTGATATGAGGCCCTGTCCACTCTAGTTCTAGGACATTTGTGTCATCCCTGAGAGGAGACTCGGTACTCATCAGCAGGCATCCAACTCCCTCCTTCCCGGAGCCCATGGCGGCCGTGAAGCTGCTGTTTCTCAGTCTCTCTCTGGATCTGCCTACTCCGGACATTCCCTATAAATGGGACCGTACGGTGTTGTGGCTTTTTGCACTGGCCTCACTCAGCGTGATGTTTTTAAGGCCTGTGCTGTAACACGGATCAGTCCTTCTTATGGAGTACTTGTCCATCCGCTTGTCCACACATAAGTGGACAGACCCTGGGGTGGTTTCCACCTTTTTGCTGTTGTGAACAGTGCTGCTATGAACATTTTCGTACAAGTCTTTGAATACCTGGTTTTGGTTCTTTTGGGTATGTACCTGGAGTGGGATTGCTGGGTCACATGGTAAGTCCGTTTCCCTTGGCGGCAGTGTACGAGGGTCCTCGCTTGTTTTGTTCCCAGCCTAGAGGTGTATACACACCCAGTATGGAGCCCAACATGGGGCCCGACCCCGAGACCAAGACCCGGGTGCTTCAGCAGCTGAGCCATCCGGGCACCCCTCTCGCTGTGGTTTTGATTGGCCTTTCCTGAATAACTAATGATGTTGGCCATCTCTTACATGCTTTTAGGCCGTTTGTGTTTCTTCATTGAGGAAATGTCTATTCAGGTCTTTCTCTAGTAATTGGGTTGCTTTTTTGTTGTTGAGGTCTTTATATATTCTGGATACTAACATCAGATTAGCACATTTTCTGCCTTCTGTGTATTATTTTTTCATTCTTGTGATAGTGTCCTTTGATACACAAAAGCTTTCAATTTTGATGAAGTCCAGTTTTTTTCTTTTGTTCCTTGTTTTCAGTGTCATATCTAAGACCAGTGCCAAACCCAGAGTCCTGGAGAGTAAACTGTTTTCTTCTAAGTATTCTATTTTTAGCTCTTATTAGGTCTCTGATCCATCTTGAGTTAATTTTTTGTGTGTGGTTGAAGTCAGGGTCCAGCTTCATTGTTTTGCATGTGGCTGCCCAGCACCAAGTCTTGGCATCCTTGTCAAAAATCAGTTGATGATCGACATATCGGTTTATCTCTGGACTCTCAGTTCTTTTACATTGATCTGTATGTCTGTCCTTGTGCCAGTACTGCATGTTTTTTTGTAGTAAGTTTTTAAGTCAGGAAATGTGAGAATATCCCCTTTTATAGATAAGGACACTGGGGCTCAGGAAGGCAACATGACTGACTGGAGGCAGAGGGGTTGCCCTGAGTCCCGGCAGGAGGAGCTGAGGTGATGGGATGAATGCAGTGGGTTGGCCAGTGGTCCTGTTTCCCAGAGGGCGGGCTTCAGGAGTGAGCAACCAGGCTGTCCATGTCCCCTAGAGCAGCAGGAAAAGGCCCTCCCCTGGACTACTTCTGTCTGAGGGCAGTGTGGGGCCTGTCAGCCTTCACAGAGGCCTGGCGTCTCAGAGGCCAAGGGCTTCTGGCCCACAGCTCTGTGCTGCAGCGAGGTGGCTGGGTGGTGGCCGGTCAGCCTACAGCGGCCACTTAGAGAAGAGCCCCTCTCGGGGACCTTTAGGGCCCACTCTCACTGTGTCCCCTCTGGCTTCCTCCTCCCCCCTTTGCAGTGGTTGGATCGCAGCCCTGTCTACACTGAAGCAGCGCCACTTGGCTGTGTCGATCATCATGATGGTGGTGGCTGGCTTCTTCACCCTGTGCGCCGGGCTCTCACTCTTCCTTCTGAAGCGGGTGAGTGGTGGGTGCTGGGCCAACAGCAAACTGAGGAAGCAAGGCACCTCTTTCCTGCCTTCGCCTTGGGGATGCCCATCACCGGAGGCACTTGGGCCCCCGGGTCCCCAGAGGTCCAGTGACTGTCACCAGGGTTCCGCGGGGGAGGTCACGCAGGCCCCCAGGGCACACTTCTCACCGCAGCCTCTTTCCCCAGGTGCACTCCCTGTACCGCCGGACGGGGGCCAGCTTCCAGCAGGCCCAGGAGGAGTTTTCCCAGGGAATCTTCAGCAGTAGGACCTTCCGCAGCACTGCCTCATCTGCTGCCCGAGGAGCCTTCCCGGGGAACTAGTCCTCCTGACTCTCCTTTGTCTGCCCCAGCCTCTTCTCTTGCCTGCCTTCTAGCTGCACTTTCTGTGGGTGCCTTAAACAGTGGTTATGCCCAGCACAGACCTGGGGAGGGTCTTGCTCGGTCCTTCCTCCTCCCTCAGCCACCAGCTCTCCATTCTGCCTGAGGGGAGGGGAGGGAGGGACAGGGACTATTTTTTTTTTTTTACACAAGAGAAAAAAGAAAAAAAAAGCTGTCTTTCCTTCTCTGGTGGTGGTTTGGTAGGTTCGAAGCAGTGGGACTGTAGTTCACTTCCCCTTATACGTGTACACACACACATACACACATGCGCATCACATACACATACACACTTGCAATCACCAGCTGACCTGGGCCCATGCCAGCTGGAGTTTTATTTCTGCCAGGATCCTGGGACTCCACTCCTCCCCCAGTAGGCCTGGCCTGAATCTGGCTCCACACACTCAGCCTGTGGCTTCCACAGTCCTGCCTTTCCTTCCTGCCCAGACTGGGTGGTCTCCCAAGGGCTCCCCTTTACATGAGCTGCAGTCCAGGTGGATGGAGAGCTCTGTTCCCCAGATCACTCTGAGGTGGTCTCTGGGCTTCCAGAGCCTCTGGCATGGTTGCTCCCAGGCTCTTCCCTGCCTTATGTTTCTCACAGATTTATAGCCCTTTAGTACCCCCTGCACCTTCCTGGTGTGGGAGGCACGTGTGCCCTCTGGGGTCCTCTCTGAGCCCTCTCCCCTCTGTAGACTTACTGAATGTGCAGTGGGGTTGGCTGGGATTTGGGGATGGGGAGGGATGGAGGATGTTGACCCCAAATAGTCCTGTCCAGCCTTTGACAGTTGTCTAGGAAGGTGGAGTCTGACTGTCCTGGTGTGGTTTGGCCCTGTTTTGATTTCCTCCTGAGGGACTGTGGCCCATTGCCGTGGCCTCAGATTCTACCCCACTCTGCCTTCTCCCCTCCAGCAATCTCATGTGTATGACTCTTCCGGGGGGGGGCACCGAAGAATCAGTCCAGAACTGCATCCCTCATGCTGGACTGATGAGCCACTTTTCAGAGGGTTCTCCCATATCCCCAGTAGAACCTAGGTCACCTGTCACTGGCCCTGGGGATTCCTCAGGTGTGTCAGTGTGATGGGCACTTGGGATGACACCGATAAAACCACCCTGTCCTCTAAAGGCTGTATACAGGGGTGGGTGTGTGGACTGAAGGGACTTCTCAAAAAGCTGGCCAACTGCCTGCCTCTGGGACCTGGGGCCCACCCTGAGGCAGCGTGCAGACTCCCAGCGCACTCAGCCCCAGAGCCACTGAATGATCATGGCAGTGACCAAGGTTTTGTAAACTTTCTGGTATTTTTTTCTTCCTGTACAAATGTATATGTTATGTCTCAATTTTTGTGCTTTAAATAAAAACAAGACATTTTCAGACAACACTGGTCGTAATGTCTGGTGGACTTGGGAGGATGGGAGTGGCCCACAGAGCCTGCACTGAGCTGGCTGCTCCAGTGGTAAGTGAGGAGACCGTCAAGATTCTGCATCTGGGGCGCCTGGGTGGCTCAGTTGGGTAAGCGACTGCCTTCGGCTCAGGTCATGATCCTGGAGTCCCTGGATC